AGAGAGAGAGAGAGAGAGAGAGAGAGAGAGAGAGAGAGAGAGAGAGTACACAGAGGATAGGTTAATTAGATAACAAATAGCTACCCCAGGTACCTTGGTATCCAGTTCTTGTGCACCAATTGTCATTCCAATCATATATAAAGTCTGGTGCAGAAGGATTGATTAAAAGGTTTGAAGTTTGAACCCCAATCTGTTTTTCTTTGTTTTCTCTTTACTCGTTCCTCAATTTGATAATATATTATGACAACCTATACTGTTCAGAATTTCAGACGCAATAGCAGGAAATACCATTCACTCGTAACTTGCTATGCTTATCTTCATAGTTGCGGCGCACCTCGGTGCATGGATTTGCACACGAATTGTGCACCGCACGAAGCGCACCGGAAAAAATAGGTCCACAAAAAAAAAAAAAAAAAAGAGAGTAGGGCTTTTGTAATTTCTTAGGGCCCCCAACTCGGCAAAAATGTCACCGCGCGAGCTCAGAAACCAGCCGCGCCCCCAGCTCCAAATTTTCTTTTGGGTAAGGGCTGCCAAATTTCGATCTCCGCAGGCCCTTCCCCCAAAAGTTTTTGAATGGCAAAGCATAAAATACTTTAAAAATAGGGCTCATTCCATCTTTTTTTTTAGGCGGGGTATGAAAGATGTTCTTCCCGCCCCCTTCTGCAAATCCCACACAGTGGTGGGGTAAGTTCACAAGAAGGGGTAGTCGCCTGATAAAGACCTGCCCCGCGAAGCTTCACAGAGATCACAAGTTGCATTTTCTATGGCCATCCGACCACCAATATATGCTGAAGATTGGTGTTCAGGTCTGCATGTCGGCAGTTATGGGTTAGGATGAAGATGCCCGTGGCTCTCTTGTTTTCTTGTTTTTGTTTTCTTACTAATACGTCCAGTGGGGCCTGCTCCACTACTCACCAAATGCACAAAAGACATAGCATATGGCGGTGTATGGTTCCATGTTTTAGCAGAAGATTCATTCTACTAATATTATATACATTTGGTGAGTGGTGGAGGGAGGCCCTGAGAATCACGTGGAGACACGAACAGGGTCTAGCTGAACTCGTGACCCATAACTGCCGAGCTACAGCCCTGAACTCGAATCCACAGCATATATTGGTGGTCTGCCTCCATGTCTTTCATGCATGACGAGGCCACCCTTCTCATTGAAGCAGCGGCCCTCAATGGCTCCACATGCGTTGTAGGAGCCATTTGAGGTACCTGCAGGGGCCCTCGAATTGACATAAAGGGGACCCTTTGTTGTCTCTCTCTCTCTCTCTCTCTCTTGGGGCCTGTCCTTTTTTTTTTTTTTTTTTTTTTTTTAATCACGCACATAACGCACCTCCCTCAGCGTGCGCACCGCGCAGCGCACTGCGCAAAGTGCGCGTGCTGTCATTCCACCGCACTGCACACTGGTGCGCCGCAACTATGCTTATGTTGTTTGATTATGCTACTGCAAGGCCGTAACATAGCCAACATCATGACTGAATACCATAGTAAATTTCAGAGCTGAAAATGATATGAAAAAGTTCAGAAAGGCAGGGGCAGTGAACGGTTGTGCTACACGTGGGACACTTAAAATTCTAGCTCGGTGCTTACACAAACTATTTGCACCAAAAACACTCAGGAAAAGAAAGGAACAATGATTTAATTGTTCACACTTACAAACGCCTCAGCTGCTGCAAGTTCCCCAACTCATAAGGTAGTCCTCCTGATAGGGAGTTTCCCCAGAGACTCCTGTTGGCAAACCATCCCCACAACACGTGACACATCTATAAGTAAATGCTGCAAAACACAAAATGAGACGAAACAAGTCATCTGAAATGTACGCCCTTCCTTGTGTCAACAGCGGGTGGCTGAGTCTGCCTCTCTCTCTCTCTCTCTCTCTCTCTCTCTCTCTCTCTCTCTCTCTCTCTC